CCCTTCTCCAACACACACACCCCGACTCCTGCGCCTCCCGCCGCCGCCCCCGTCGCCCTCCGCGGCAGCGCTTTACCCGAGGCCAGATGAGAAAGGGCGGCCGGAGGAAGGGAGCGGGAAAGAAGGGGGCCGGTGCAGACGGTCCCCCCCGCCGAGGCTGTCTCCGCCGCCGCTGAGCCCCAGCGCCGCGCTCCGCCTCCCGCCGCTCCCGCCTCCCCCGCGGCCACCGAGCGGCCCCAGCCCCCACCTGACAGGGTGCGGCTTCCCCGGCCGCAGGCCAATAACCGCGCCGCCCATTGGAGGGCGCACGCTCGGCGACTAAGCGGCTCTCCCATTGGCTCGCGGTCAGGCGCATGGAGGGAGGGGGGAAATGGCGGCGGTGGGGGAAGCAGGTTGCCTCAGCTGGGGCCGCTCTTGGCAGGTCCTGGGGGCCCTAGCCGGCGCTGGGCGATTCCGAACGAGCGGGGAGAGGAGAGGCTGAGCAGAGCCCCCCGGCGCGGGGAAGGGGTTTCTTGTGGAGCCGGAGCCCTTCGGAAAGGAGCGGCGCGTCGCCTGGGAAGCTTATCGTGCGGCAGGCTGGGAGATAGGGGCAGAAATCAAGTAATTGCCAAGGAAGCCGTGCGATAAAGGGTTCCCTGACACGCAGCGGTGGCGGTATCTAATCGCTGGAAGCTCAGAGCAGGTCAAGATCGATGCAGAAGCGCAGATGCCCTGTGAGAGGAATCAAACTTGAGAACTGCGGTGGCGGGGGTTAGAGACATCTGTCAAAGCTGCAGGTATTTAAGTCAGTCGAATATCCTCCTGATGTTACATTCCAGGCTCATCATAAGTTGTATACTTGCTTCAGGAAGCGTGCAGATACGTTGTATAGCTTGTACATAGGAGGCCTGATTAGATCTTTATAAATCATCCCTTTAGATCTTATAAATCTTTTGAAGAGCTGTGTGGCTAGTATAACACCACAGTTTGTTAGTTACTGCAAATAAAGCACCATCTGTAAAGTTAACTTGTTCTGTTAGCTATCTTAATTTTCTGTACCTTTTAATATCATTTTTATATCACTTTAAGACTGCTGCTTCTGTTTTGGTAGCTGTTGTATAGAATAGTGCGTGCCTTAGGTCAAATGAAGAATTAGGGGTCTGGGAACGTGCTTTCACAAACACCAAACTCTTCTCCACTTATGTCTGTACCCCCAAGTTACCTGTATGATCAGAGGGAAATAAACTGCTGCTCACAGAACCTGACGGATGCCTTTAGGAGCCATAAACGTCTCTCCCTTGGAATATGGGAGAATCTAGCCTGCTCCAGCCACCTCCACAGAGGAAACACAGACCACTTACCTAGTTCATGCTTTCTGGCAAGTCATCTTCATTTGTTCCCTGTTCAGACTGGAAAGCCAGGCCATAGAGATATACATAACCTCGTATGTAAATTCAACCACCAAAAATGCCATTTAGTTATCAAGTAATGACACAGAATGATTATGGCACATCTGACAAGACAACACTCCTGGACAGAGATCTGCCTAATCAAAAACATCCCACAATAGGACACATATTAGTGTAATTACTAATAATTAGCAAACCATGTTTGAACTTTTTTTTGTAAGGACTGTTGCTCTAGGCCTAAAACATTAAAGTCGCTTCACCTGTCTAGTGCTGAACCCCGTTAAACCCAGTGGGTACCAGATAGCATACTTTTGTCCTTGTTCAAAGTCTAATCAAGGAGATCTGCAGGTGCTCCACACCTGCAAGGTCCAGCCACCTGTCTCACACCTTGTCTTCCCCTTGAGTAGGGGACAATAGATGGCTCTTTGTCAAAACTCTCCTTCATCTTGGCACCTCGTTTACCTCCCTTTCCTTTCCTCACCATAGCATTCAACACATAAAGCTCTCTTTCTTCTTGTCCAGTAAAGTGAATGGGAGAATGTTTCCATGTTAAAACTAACTCGGCAAAGAAATACGGCTTTGTTTTAAAAGGAATGGTTTTCCTGTCCAGCTCGGTGCATGGCTGGAAGCCCAGCAGTGCCAAGAGGGAGGGGGACATTGAGGACAGCAGCAGTGCCCAGGGACTGGGGGAGGACAGGGTCATTTCTTCCACCAGCAGTGCAGGCTTAAAGTGTTTGTATAACTACCAGGTGTGGTGTCACAAGCCTCTTAGGCTGATTAAAGGATGCATTTGATCATCACACCTGCTTGCCCTAATGGTGAAATGCTGCAGAAGAGTGCTGTTCCTTTACCCCTCTCTTTTGCTGTCCTACCCTGTGACCTGCCCAAGGTCACAGGTTCCAGCTGTCCCCTTCCAGCCTTCCCCCACCCCTTGCATCATATCCCATAATCATGAGAGCAGAGAAGATAATTGTTTCACCTGGCTAATCTGATGGAAAAATCGGGGGG